GGGGGTTGTTTGTTTGTTTTATTTCTCTTCAGTGAGCTTTTAAAACAAATCCCAAACTTCATTTACAGGCTGCGTGGAAACGTGGAGCAGGATCTGAGAAACAAGAATGGATTACCGCGATTGGAGTCCTCAGAATCCACAGACTCAGGTATGGCTTCCCCAATTCGGAAATAATTATTAACAGCGGAAAGAAATGTATTTTTACACAGCTTCTGAGGTTTCGGTAGAGAACTGCCTGCAATCCCTGCATTCCTTCTCCTTGTGTTTTTGGAAGGAGGGAGGCACAAACCATCCCTCAGCAAACCTCTGCAGCTCCTGCTTTGGGTTGTGGGTGGGTTTTTTTTTTTTGCTTGAATTCTGCCAGAGACTGTTAGCAGAGCTAACACAGGGAAAACTGGTTCTGTCCCCACAGGGGACTCCACAGCTGGATTTTCCTTTTTTTTTTTTTTTTTCCTGAGAAAGGTGTGCCTGACCTGTTGTGCTCCAGTGTGACTGTTGTTATCTGATTGCCTTGATGTGCTGCTCTGGCCAAGGTGATAGGCAGCACCATATCAGAGGTGAATCAGCCTTTGGCAACAGCTTGAGAGGAAGGGAAAGCTGCTTCAGATATCCCAAGATAGGTTCCCTGGTGAATGGGATTCCCACCATTCCCTGGGCCAGGGTGACTTGTGGATGGTGGGGCTGTGGTGTGGAAAACAGGGAGATGGTATTGCATCCCTCACTGTTGGGATCTCAGCTCTGACAGGATCTCTTGGAGCTTGTGCCCTTTGCAGGGTGATAACTGCTGGAAGTGAGTCCTCAGCCATCTGTTCCCCCTCTTTAAACCCGAACTGTGCCAACCTGCCCAAATCAAGGCGTGTGAGTGGGTTGGGCTTCTGGTGTTCTTTTGTTAGCAAGAGCTGATTGTTTGCCTGGAACACCTTAGTTCTGACACTTACCTAGAAGGATTTGGGTTTTTTTCAGATGTTTTATCCATGAAAATGAGAAGCTCTTACCCCATAACTTGTAGAACCAGGGAAACTTCTGGTGCTTCACTGGTCCAGCCCAGTGAGGGAAATCAGTGTCTCCACCTGAATTGATCCCCACTTGAAAGGCCCTTTCAGCCTTGAACAGATCTTTATGAACCGCTAAAACACAAGCACAGCTCACAAACCACAGTGCAGGACAGCAACCAACCTTGCTAAATCCTCACTTCCCACAGCTTCTTAGGAGTTTGTGTTTGAGGAATTTTGTGTTTGTCTGTGCTTCAGTGCGGTGGAGTTGCAATGTTTCACCTGCTTTGTGCTTGTGAAGTACTTGCTGTTACTTCCAGTACATTAAGAAGGGCCTTTTGTCTACTTATTCTTTAGAATGAACCCAAAATTTCTTCCTAGGAAGGAATAAACATGGCTCAAAACAACCATCCCTAAGTGACTAAATTGTTTGTTAAGGTGCGTGTGAGAGAATAAGCCAAGAGTATTCCATGCTGTGTGGCAACACTCTGTTCCATGTGACAGTCTAGGCAGGCCTGGGGGTGCTTCCTTAATTCTTCCTATTTTTCCAAGCACTAACACTTGCTTATCCATGGCCAAATCCAGTGGTACAGAGTGTTTGTAACCCTTCTACCCTGAGGTGAGGCTGCAGATGGGATCCACATGAGTTTCCTGGGTCTTTCTGTGGAAGTCTGTAGCAGTGTCCAATAATCCATGGTTCCTGGAGACTAATCAGTAGGAAACTTGTCTCTCCTCTGCAGGTTTTGCTGTGGATTCTCCCAATCTTGTGACCTCAACTGACTCTGTGGAAGACATGTATGTACCCACATCTTAAACCTGACTTGTTCCACATGGCACTATAAAGAAACATGAGCTAATGAGGCTTGATGGGGCTTTTACTTTGTTGGCACGTGTACAGTGAGCTCTTCTCTACTGAACTTCTCTATGTGCTCCACAGCTGGAGATGCTGGGATTGGTCCTGCCTGTGTCCCAGAGCACTTTGCTGTTGGCTCTCAGGGTGTTGTACCGACCACATGTCATTGGCACCTTACCAGGAGCCTGAGGCTGCACCAAGTTGCATCCAAATTGCAGTTTTGTACACTTGATTTGTTCTTCTCTGTGCCTTACCTGATGCCAAGAATCCCAGAATCCTTAGGTTGGAAAAGACCTCCAAGATCGAGTCCAGCCTTTGACCAATCGCCACATTGTTAACTAGAACTGATGCCAAGAATTGCTTTGACCTTTGAATTTGATTATTTATTTCCCCCTAATCTTCTGTCCCCAGGGTTGGGGACAGATGCCTTTGCTCCCTGATTTGCTGAGCTTTTTCTCCTTCAGCCTTAATTGTTGTCTGAACAATACTGGAAAGAATTTTAGGAAAGGAGGGGAGAAGAAGTCTTTGAGTGTTTCAAACATTAACCTTTTGGGAAAGAGAAGTGGCATCAAGAAGCAGCTTGCCCAGAGCAGCTGTGGCTGTCCCATCCCTGGGAGTGTTCCAGGCCAGGTTGGATGGGGCTTGGAGCAACCTGGGCTAGTGGAAGATGTCCCTGCCCATGGCAAGGAGTGGGACAGGCTGATCTTTGGTCCCTTCCAACGTAAACCTTTCTGGGATTCTGTGCTTAGCATAACACTTCATGGCTTGAACGTGGTTGATTTTTTTGGAGCAGCTGTGGCTGTCCCATCCCTGGGAGTGTTCCAGGCCAGGTTGGATGGGGCTTGGAGCAACCTGGGCTAGTGGAAGATGTCCCTGCCCATGGCAAGGAGTGGGACAGGCTGATCTTTGGTCCCTTCCAACGTAAACCTTTCTGGGATTCTGTGCTTAGCATAACACTTCATGGCTTGAACGTGGTTGATTTTTTTGTTGTTTTTGTTGTTTTTTTTTTTTTTTGTTTTTTTTTGTTTTTTTTTTTTTTGTTGCTGACTGTGGGACATCTCTCTTGCTTTTAGGTTTGAGAAAGAAATTCTCAAATCCAGCAGACTGAAGTAAGTATAATTCTATTTTAACTTCTTTCTCTGTGACTGTTGTAGTTTATGGAGCTTAGGGGGTGGAGCTTTATTCATGTCACCTGCTTTTTAAAACCAATGTTGAAGTAAATCTTGTTTCTTTCGCGTTGCAGCCTTCGAATTTCTTTCAGGAGAATACATTCCCTGCCAGTAAGTGAGAGTGGTATTGATGCTCTATAAATATTAAAGGACTTATCATGGGGGTTTTTTGTTGAATACATTCCCTAACTTGTTAATTTTCTGGCTTTAAGACCAGCTGCTGATGTACTTAATGCAGCCTGTCAGAACTGCAGCTTGTAAATTCCAGATCTCACTTAAGTTACTGTGAAATTTGCATGATACTACTCTGTCACTGCTGCATTGAAGCATTTTGGTACCTGTGCTGAGGTGTCAGCATAACACTGCTGCACAGAGTTTGCAGTCAGACTTTAAAGCCTTTATTAACCCTTTTTTTGTGCTCAAAATGTGCTTGTGCCAGGCCCATTGCACTTTATTGACCTGGCACTGTTTGTGGTCCTTGTAGCAAAGCCTGTTGGGAACTAGCCCTGCCCTGAAGAGAAGTAATTCTGATTGTCTGGATGATGGTTTTCAGACATTGAATCAAGATGAATGCAAGGAAAATGTAAGTGATGAGAGATTAATAAAAAGGCTGTGCAGCTCTACCTTCTGCCACTGACTGACTCCTTGGCTGTGACATGGGAAAATGTCTATTTGCTCTGCTGCGAATAGATGTCTATTTACTCACTCTATCTCTTCCCACTGCTGCCGTGGGGAACCCTGATTCCTCAAGGAATCAGTGTCCCTTGGCCTGCCCTGGCTGCTGGGAATCCTGTCCATGGGGCTGTGACAGGTGTGCAGGAGAACAGGTGTGAGGCACCTGCCTTCAAAGATGATTTTTTTCTGCAGAGCTGAGTGACAGAAGTAGAAAAGCCTTAATCCTCTCAGTGATGTCAAGAGCATAAGTGTTGGATTATGTTACATGAAACACTCTTGTAGCATCTTTAATT